TTTGATCCGAAAATCGTAAAATAATTTTTCGTTAATAACTTTTATTTTTACTAAGACACTTGTATTTTGTGTCTAAGTACGTAGAGTTGTTCGGAATGTAATTGTGTATATACCTACAATTTTTTGTTTAATTCTAATTAATATTGAACGAGTAATAACGTTTTTGAGGCTGACCCGAAATATTTCGAGTCGGGTTTGACCCAATCCGACCCGACCCGAAATGTGCGTTCCGGGTCGGGTCACGGATTGGACCCGACCCCGGTTGAAGCACTAATAGTATCATATTTATTCATTATTTTAAATTTTTTAACGACTGTCCTAATTTTAGTTGACCCCTGTACATGTACTTGCATATGAACTACATGATAGAATAAACTGTAAAGTACCAAAATAGCTGGTTTCTAACAAAGAGGCAACGTTCTTCTTGTGAAATTATCTTAGTTTTATTGAGATGTTTCATAATGAATTTGTAGTTGTATGGTGCATAAAATCTAAAGTCATCAAACGGTTGTATTTTATAAGATATATAAACTTATTTACTAAGAAGTAAATACAAAATTTAATCCGTGAATATGCTCAGAAAAGGCCTATTATACCATATTCGCGGATTAAATTTTGTACTTACTTCTTAGTAAAGAAGTTTATACATCTTATAAAATACAACCGTTTGATGACTTTAGATTTTATGCATCATATATATATAGAAATTAAAGATTTTTATAAAATAATTATATATCTAATCTTTAGACAATTTAATTTATTATAATCAAAGTACTTTGAAATTTTAATAAATAAAATATCGCTATATAAATCAGTTGATTTCTAGTACATTGATAATCAAAAATATTAATATTTAAAAGCAAAAGCTTGATTTTACTTATTAACTTTAAAAGACGTGGTAGGTTTTTGTAAACTGGCTTGCAACTTGAACCAAGCCAGTAGATGAATAGATTTTGTATATATTTAATGATCAAATCTTTATTTATTATTTCTTGTAATGAAAATTTTAATATAAAACAATCTGAAATGAGCCAAATTACGCAGAGCTTTATTTTCAGGTCAACAAAAGTTACCTCGTTTTCTAACTCAAAGAAATTATATATAATAAAGTAATGGCGACTGGTCTTTTTTAAAGAAAAGAGCAATTTTAAAGGAAAAAATTTATTTCATGCCTCAAAAATCACATAATGTATTCTCCTTCCATGTCAATGCAAGCTTGAACGCTGTTTGACATGTTAAAAATATTATAAGAACTAGCGTTGATAATGTTATTTGTTTAAACCAAGACTCGTTGGCGTTTGCGTAATCGTGATCGATTCTGCGTCACGATCACCAATATTCTGTCTAGATCAGGATATGCATTATGGCTCTCAAAGGCTGGAGAAACGCCATGTATTTTTTTCACACCAGCCTTTTTTAGAAGGCCATGATAAAATTATTCCGCCGTAATTTGAAGAAATTTTTCCTGCTAAGTTTAATACATGTATTAATAATGCTAAGAATATCAGATCCAAGTTACATGTACTACATGTATGATGGTTTTGTTGCACAGATCTGTCTTGATAGGCTGATTTACCCACGGAGATCAGACAAATTTTTAGATGGTGGCTACTGCTGCGGGATGTGTGTGAACATCTATTACTCTTCCAGCTTGCAAAGAAATAAAAAGTTTTAATAAAAAAGCTTTATTTCTTATGCAAAATAATGACCGACAATCAAGGCGACAATATGAATTTCGGCAACAGTAGCAATTCTACCAATACGAATGACTCTTTAAACACTGACAATAACAATATAAGTAGCTTTAATGGTTACAGTATCGCACAGTTGAGTCTGAAATTCGATGCAGTAAGTTCAAGTTTATTAACAACATTAAAAATTTATGATGCAGTCAATTTTAAAATTGTTATTTTCATTAGTTTGCGAAAGCCAGTCAAGAAGTTTCAAAAAGCTTAGCAAACTTTGAACAAGCGTTCGAAGATTTGCAGGGATTTTCAGTACCTCTTTCTAGTAACCAAGATACATTGTCATCTCCATCGTTGTCATCACCAGTGGTGCCTTCAATGCCAACTATTGAAATGTAATAAAAAACATTAGTGCTAACGAAATAATTAATCGTATACTAATTAATCTTTTCAAATTTACAGACAAGATGCTTCACCTCCAAGAGCTGTCCCGACGATGGAATCATCAACATCTACAACTCCGCGACCTTCATTTCAAAATCTGGTGTCTTCGCCGACAGCATCCTATACCATGAGTTTGAGGATGCTAGATCAAGAACAACCTCAATCGGAATCTCGATCTTCACAAACACAATCTCAAGAACAAACACAATTTCATCAAAAAATTAAAACCGAAACGGAATTTCAATCCTTATCTGCACCTCGACTTCAAAATTCCAATAATGGATGGCAAAATACACCCAACAAACGATTTGTACCTGCTTCCAGAGTCATCGTAGGTCAAGATGGCCGTCTCTGGACGTCAGAAGCGCGAGTCAAACTAATGGATGATTTCATTTACTACTTTCATAAAAGAGAAGCAGAAAATCCTAGACTAAATCGTTCGACTATCGGTAAAGAATTAAAACAATTGATTGGCAACGAGTCAAATCAAGACGTCGGACTTGATCAATTGCAAAGCCGTGTATGTAAATATTTGAAACGATACTCGACGCCAATCGATCCTATTGTTATGCAGGCTATCGATAGCTGGATTTTGTGCGAGAGGGAGAAATATCGATATGAATAATCAATGGTAGCATTAAATTCTGATGATTTTTATGATTATATCATTTGTTTTTCAATTTTTTAGCATTCATTATCGCTACCCTTACGATGATGACCAAACGTTTGCAATAATTATTCAAGCATCATTTTTTTATCTAGTAGGAAAACAATGTCTTTTAGGAAAGATTCTCATTCAATATTTTATTAACGTTAATGCTAAAAAGAGAATATTTGTTAGTCATTTTCAAATAAATATGTATTTAATTTTCCCAAATATTAATGTGTTAGATTTTTCATATAAAGTCTATGCATTAAATGTACAGTATTTAAACCATTATGTTTTTGTGTGTTGAGGATTATGATCAAAAGAATAGTGTAACTGTGATAGCCCCCCGTTTTTCTTTTTTTGAATAGATTCAGGAGTCCGCACACCGATACGTTGTATCGATTTCTAGAATCACTGTTTATGTGATTTCGGCGATTCTATTAAATTTCTTTAACTCAACAAAATCGATTTTTCGTCCGGCAGCGATTCCGAATCTACATTTTCACATGTGGGTCATGCTGTTTGCTCGGGGAACATTCTCATGGTTGTGTGACAATACTTCTTGCACTTACAGTACTTACAGTCCATCATCATCATCACTACGATAAATTTTTTTCGTCGTTCCCACCACACATTTAACAGATATCACCATCACCGGATATCTGCCAAAGCAAAAAATACATAATGAGCGAGGCCACCACCAGTAATAATAATAATAATACTCTTACACACTACAATGACAATCCAAGCATCAGTGTCAATAGTCCACCAATAAAACGCCGATATTCTGAACCCGAGGAACCGCTTATTCCTACCGACAATAATGATAATGATAGAGGATCAAGAGCAAAACGAACACTCAGAAATTTTTCGATTGCACAAATTCCTTTGTTTCCGCTTACTATTCCTACAACTAACGTCAACAATGATGATATCAATGACGCCGAAAACACCAATAACAATAATTACGACAACCAAAACAACATGAATAGCACCAACAATTATAACAGGCTCAACAGCAACAATAATTATAACAGCATCGCTCAAATGCGGCAAAAATTCGACGCGGTAAGTTAGAAATCAAAGATGATGGCTGAAAATTTTTTATTTTCCATTACATAAAAAAAGATCCCAAGAATTAATGAAATTCATATTAAATATTATCATTAGTTTGCGAAAGCCAGTTATGAAGTATCAAAAAGCCTAGCAAACTTTGAACGGGCGCTCGAAGATTTGCAGGGAATTTCTTTTTCTCCATCTACTGTCAGTAATCAAGATTCGTTTACAACTTTGTCGCCGTCGTCACCGACGGTGCCTTCTCCGTCAACTATAGAAGTGTAAGAAAAAAATAAAATATCTATTTTTTTACTTTGCGCACGATAATTAATGTTCTTACGATGATTTACATAGACCAGATTCTTCACCTTCAAGAACTGTCCCGACGGGACACTTAACAACCAACTTAAATAATTCTTCAGAGTCAATTCCGCTAATGAGAGTTGAACCTGCCGTCATGATTCTCGATGAAATATCGAGACGAACTCCCATGATAATTGAAGAAAGACCGAGACCGACAACTCCGCGAATTTCTTCACCTGAATTAATTGGCAGCTTTTTATCTTCATCAGCTCAATCTCATCGTCAAAATATAATGTCTCCTTTGATATCTCCAACTCCAGCAGAGATCCAAATACCCAATAGTATAAATCTGAGGTTGCTGCCACGACAAACACAATCTCATCAAGAACCTGAAACAGAAACGGAATTTCAAGCATTATCTGCACCTCAACTTCAAAGTTCCAATAATGAACAGCCAAATGCACCCAAGAAACGATTTGTGCCTACTCCCAGAGCTGTCGTTGTAGGTCAAGATGGCCGCGTCTGGACGCTGGAAGCGCGAGTCAAACTAATGAGTGACTTCATTTATTACTTTCGTAAAAGACAAGAAGAAAATAGTAAAGTGAGTCACACCACTATAAGTGAGGAATTGAAAAGATTGATGGGTGAAGAACCAAATGACACCAATTCAGGGGTGAGTTTTAATCATCTGAAAAAACGTGTAGGTAAATATTTGAGACGACAACACACGCCATCTGATCCTGTTGTCTTGCAATCTATCGAAGATTGGGTACTTTGTGAAAAGGAAGCACACAAGTAAATGCCGAGTATTTGGGTTTTAATTTAGCATTTATATATCGATAGGGTAAATTTTAGTCTTTTTTTTAGTATAGTATACTATATACGTACGTATTATATACATGTATACCGAAATACATTTTAAGTTGTTACAGTCCAGTAAATACGTAATTAAGAAATGCCCCCTCCCGAGTTAGCGTTATTACAAAAATTATCAAACAAAGTTGTTTGCCAAGAATATTTTTGTTGTCAACCCTTTAGCCCACACAGCATGATTCTTTATTGCATAACGAGAACACCGTATTGCCTCGTGAATATCGACGTTTGTGCCGTGTCCGCGAAAATGGCAGTTCCATAGGAAGAAAAATGCTGTCGGATTTTTCTGTGAAGCTGACCTAAATGAATACGTAACGGTAACATAGAAAATTTAAAATGGTGAAAATGGTGGAGATAACGATAATGGTGATAAAATGGTGACCTGATGATCCAATGAAACCCATTGCGTCGATTACGTTTTATTCCAGTATATCCGAAAAGAGTACAAACTCCCAGCGTTAATTGTCCTTCTGCGTCTTGTGGTTCAATTAATTTATGAAGTTCCAGGTATGCTTTATCCGTGGACGTCATTTTAATAGATTGTCTTCTAATTGTATACGTATCTCTTTCGAGTTCTAATTTTTTTTAACAAGAAAATTCTTCTATTACATATTTAACATATTCAATACATATGTATCAGTTGAACAGCTGATGATTGGATGTTATTTGCTTTTCAATGTCGTGTATCTACGTATCGGTATATATACCGATACGTAAAACTTTCGTATGACTACAGTATTCAAACATCAAAGTCATTCGGCACCATAAAAAAAGAATTCTACACAAAAAAAGAAATTCTATAGAAAGGTAGAATTGGTATACCGAACAATTACTGCATCCTATATTTTTGTTGAAAAAATCTATATATATGTTGAAAGATCCATACGTAGTTAATTCAGTATCAAAATCCA